TATCTTCGCGAAGCCGCGACCATGATCCCGACGACGGTCGGGCCGCGGTTAATAGAGTCCGGGTTATTCCCGAATAGTCGGCGGAATAATCAATTAGCGGCGATCGAATGAAGCGGTAATTTTAACGGGGCAAACAATGCCATTAGCATGCGCGGCCATTATCGGCTGGAAGGTCGAACTGTGTCACGGTGAAATTATTCTCGCGAGAGATACGAATGAAAGTGCTCTCACGCTCTATGAACCCGTCCCGCTCCCGCTGCTATTTTACTTCGANGACAATTTGGAAAGAGGAGATACGATTATTCGAGCCTTGCGGTTTATTTTTATAGTTATAAATTTCCCACAATTATAAAAACGAGCCGCAAGGCTCTAATAATCGTATCGATCTACACTGGCACCCCAATCTATCAGGAAATCCAGCCTACTAGTCTCAGTAACTGGGCCAAAATTTTGCTATTGACCGAGGTGGACCAGTTACTGAGACTAGTGGAATTGATTTTCGAGATTTTTGGATCTGTCTGGAAATCCATCCCACTAGTCTCAGTAACTGGTCCACCTAAGTCCATAGTAAAATTTTGGACCAGTTACTGAGACTAGTGGAATTCATTTTCCGAATTTTTGGGTGTCTCAGGGCATGCGATAACTTCATCTCTACAGAACACTAAAATGAATTTTTTTCACTCAGTAACTGGTCCCCCTAGGTTGATAATAAAATTTTGGACCAGTTACTGAGACTAGTAGGATGGATTTCCTGATAGATTGGGGTGCCAGTGTAGATCGATTGTACATTTTAGTGGACAATCTGAGCGTCAGTAAGGGAAACATTATTAGCCATCCTACCCATAGAAGGGACAGTTTTAATTGCAACGCCAGCTGCGTTTTCGATTCAAATCGGACTTCGATTCGTCGTTCGTCGTCGAAAGACGTTCGACGTCGCAAGATCGACAGAAATTTCTCGGCGATTTTAAAAGCGAGTCGAAAGAGCGCTCGGATTATTAGCACAAGGGTTGATGGGGCACGTGCAACTCCTCCTACATTTAGCTGAGAAACTATTCAGCAGATTCTGCGCGAAATCCGACGAGAAGCGGAAACGGGATTGATTAGCTGCGACGTCTGCTGATACTTCTGACGGAAAACACCGGCGTGCCGAGGCAACGAATGGCCCCGGGCGACGGCTTTGTGACGTTTTAAAATATGTTTACGTAACACGCCGGCCTCGGAAACGCGTTCGCCAGATGTATACTCAGCGAGATGCAATTTTCCGACGAGTTTGCCGCCGCCGCCTCGTCGTTCGACGGGGCGCAGCTTTCCATTGAAAATTTAGTCTTTGATCGTGTAAACGTGATCGAGAACCGATTAATTTGTTAACCTGCTGTGACGAGATATGTCGTTATTGTGTGCATATATAAATTTATCAACGTCGATCAAGAGCCGCGTTCGAAAGATTTGATTTATATATTTCTACAAAATATGCCATGAAATATTATAGTCGAATATATTGGCAATCGAGACACGATCGTTTGTTACTATATTAACAATAGATTCGCGTATTGATATTACGTCGAAATAAACGATCAACGATTGAAAAACGTTTTCTCGTTGCTACTTTTGACAATAGATTCGCGGATTGATATTGCATCGAAGTAAACGATCAGCGATTGAAAAACGTTTTCTCGTTGCTACATTAACAATAAATTCACGCGTTCACGGATAGATTCGGCGCTGCAGAAGCAGCTGTTTCGCGTTAGTTTATGAGAGCAACGATGAGGCATTTGTTCCGATTTTGAACGAGCGTTATTGTAATATTTGCCGCGAGCAACATTGTCCATTTCTGTGGACAATCTGAGCGTCAATTAGAGAGACACCACTGTATATCGAATGAACGACTGATAAAAGTATCTTCACGCCAAATAACACAGGTTCTCGCTGCGAAGAAGAAAAAGTGACCACCGCGAAGCGTGTCGAACAAAAATTAATTCCCCGATTAACGGGCTTTCGGCCGCGAAGAATCATCCTCGAGAACAACGAAGTCGCGGTCTTTTTATCTTCGCGAAGCCGCGACCATGATCCCGACGACGGTCGGGCCGCGGTTAATAGAGTCCGGGTTATTCCCGAATAGTCGGCGGAATAATCAATTAGCGGCGATCGAATGAAGCGGTAATTTTAACGGGGCAAACAATGCCATTAGCATGCGCGGCCATTATCGGCTGGAAGGTCGAACTGTGTCACGGTGAAATTATTCTCGCGAGAGATACGAATGAAAGTGCTCTCACGCTCTATGAACCCGTCCCGCTCCCGCTGCTATTTTACTTCGATAAAGACGGGCCGCGATGTTCGCCGGGAATGGAAATACACCGTCTATTGTGCCCGGGAAAAGTGGTCAAGGTGCAATTCATTACTTATTGCACGTGCCGCGGGAGCGCGGGCGTTTTATCGGAATTAAATGCGATGCGACTGAGCCCGGCGGGCCGATGATACATTGTGTAATAAATAGAGGAGAGCACGCCGGGTCCAACGTACACGGGCAAGGAAAATAATGTGCAGGACGTTCCGCCTCTTGTTCCCGAAGACGCGGAAAAAAAGAAAGAACGTCCGGCGTTGAATTATCACCGCGCGCCGTCCGCTGGTTATTTTATGAACGCCGCGCGCGGACCACTTTCCGCTTATTGTCGGACTGACCATTTTCGCGGTGAACCGACGTGTCCTAGGTCCGTCCGTCCGTGCGTCGTGGTGGCGGAGTTCGAGCGTCAACGACCTCGTATTTTATTATCGGCCCGCTTAGCGGGCTCCTAAAAAGCTCCGCGTCTCCGACGAGCTCCGTATCTCCGAAAGCGAGGAGAAAACGCAGCGGAGACATTTTTCCGCGAGACGTTTCCGGGGCCGCGTTATACGAACCGCCGCAACGGCCGCGAAGTAAACGCGTAGGCGCCGGATAATCCCGTCTGGGAAATTATGCGAACGAGGCGAGCCGGGCTGTTCCTTTGCACGCGAAACTATTTTAACTCGATCCGAGGATTGGAATTTCCGAAGTATTAAATTTGCGAATTAATTGTTGCTTCGAATATATACGGTAATAGGAGGTTTCGAACTATGCTCGGAGGCGAGGATTACCAGTTTCGATGGCCGATTCCCGAGGTATCGAAGCATGAAATAGTAGCGGGGAGAGAAGAAAAATAGGATCGCGGCGTCCGTGGGTGCCGATAAAACGGCGCTAAGATAAATAGGAGTTAATTACTTAAAACGAAGTCTACAAGCTACTAGCTATTTTCCCGGACGAGATAATGGTCCTGTTTCAAGAAATATTCATGGGTTTGACAATGGCTCGTTAGCGGGACCATTCCCGGCTCCCAGTAATTAGTATTATTCACGCGTACCGCGACCCCCGTTCAGGAAATACACTGCAATATTAACTCCTTGGAGGTTCCACTTCGAGCCTTCGTATCTCCGGATCGGCTTGACTTATCGGTATGCAACAAAATGCATATCGAACGAGCTGGATTCCGGCCAATTCATCGAACGACCGCGGCCATTTTTAATTAAACAAAATGAAACGACCGCGAAGCGGGCAACGCCGCCCCGCCGAAATCATTTTTAAACAAATCCGACGTCGCACGGGCCGTCTCTCTCTCTCTCTCTCTCTTTCGCATTTGCAACGGCGACGGCACGAAAAATATAAAATTTGGTAGTCGAGCCGGAAGCCGGACAGTGAATTGCAGATGAAGTTACGATGGATCGAAGACTGCTGTGCCATTTAACTTCAACGTCCGTCATCCATTTTTATCGGTGTCCAAACGAATCGCGGGACGCGCCCGTTGTTCACCCAACGGGGTCCCGATTCGATTCGAGCCGATCCGACGTATGTACATAGAACATCGCGTTCGCGATATCGAGCGCGACAACGAAGAGCAACACGTACGTGCGGTGCACTCGGTGCCGGTGATAAAATTCGCGGGGGGGGGGGTACCCTCCCGAGTGTGCTCGTTGCTTCGCGGCGCGTTCGTTAACAGTTGCGGCGAATTTAACGCGGCGGTTTATCGGCCCCGCGGAAACTTATAAATCCGGCCGGCCGCATTTATAAATTCGCGAATAGAAAAGTCGCGATTAAATTTGCATCGCGCCGGGGCAACGCACGCGACGATTAACCGTGCGCGACTTTCGCGGTCTAATTACGAGCGTTCCGTATGCTTACGCGAGGGAAATTTCTCTGAAACGAAAGGAAACGGAAAAATCGCCGCAGGGACGCGCGCGCGCGCGTTCGTTTTCTCGTGAAAACCGTAGAAGGAGAAATTTCGACGCCGGTTTTTCAGGAAGCTTTTATCATGCTCGAACGTTCCGCAACATTTCTCCTCACCCTCTATTGTCGTCTTTGTCCTCCGATTGTCACGTGACGATACACTGCGCGCTGTGTGTCTTTTTTCTTTGTATTTGTCAAAGAAAAGGAGCTGGTTTTGTTCGCGATCGTGACAAAAGGATCGGCCGCTCTCTTCGTTATTTAACTCGCCGGTGCAAAATATATCGTAGCACTTGAAAACATCCCCGTTCACGAAGGGTTCGAAGGAATTTAACGCTGGACCAGCAAACCGGTTGATTCGATTGCTTTTCGATCTTTTTCTGTCAGAGTTTTCATAAAAATATCGCCGCGAGAAATTTCTACGTAATCTTGTTTGCTCGAGCATTCTAATAGAAATCGCGCGAGGTTTGCATAAATAATATGTTGTCGTTCTCAGGAAACAATGTACACCGAGTCACGTTCGTAGCTCCGTGGTGCCGGTGGCCCGAATATGGATACATTTCGTAGCTGCTGCATCTTGTAACTGATACCCGAAATTTTGCGTAGAGATCGCGTGGAGGGGGTCCTGGAATTGTTCCAATCCGGCGTAAATATTTCAACGCCGTGCATAGGAAAGTAGAATATGAAATAACGGAGCAGCAGCGCGGTATACTTTGCGCGACGTGTGGCGCAGAGGCGCGCGAACGCTGGCGGATGGTGCTGAGTCTCGTTGAATTTTTATATGAAAACTTTATTCAACCGTAAATGAGAGATTAACATTGTGCGACGTTCGTAACATATACATATATATATATACATACATGTAACAGACAGAGACAATATTCGTCGAACATCACATGAAATAAACCGTCTTTTCGTCTAACGCGTACTATCGTTAATATAAACGTTAAACTCGCTCGTGGCCGGTCGCTCTCGCTCGCCGAAAACGTAAAAGAAAAGAACGGAAAAACCGCGATGTCCTGCGCGAAAAAATTCGCGGCAGCGTTTCGCGTACCGATTTTAGCCGAGGCGATCACCCGCGAGCATTATCGATGCCCGCTCGATCGCGGAGCTCGGCGATCGTCGAGAGCGCGCGGATACGACACGATCAAGTTTATTATTTATAGAATTAGATTATCCCTCGTCGACAATGTGTACAATATGTGAAACGGTTGTCTACTACTGTAGTGGATTATGCTCGGAGCAAGCGGCAATTCTAACGCTGCGATATTAGTTTTATGTATCGTGGTCCGTGATGATCGTCCGTGCTCTTCTTCCCGAGGAAAAGGAAGACGGCTCTCTTCTACCTATTAGAAATTTAATCTTGATAACGATCAACGATTCTGTGTAGAAAATGTATGTACAATAATGTCACCGTCGAGCGCTGCGATAGTGTAATCGATGTGTCGCGGCGTAAACCGAGGACAAAAGCAAATCGTATCTCGCCTACGCAGATTCTCCCTTTCATTCGATCTCACACCCTTTCACTCTCGTTCCTCTCTCTCTCTCTCTCTCTCTCTCTCTTCCGTTTCGCGTCCCTACGATTTATATCTCTCTTTCCGTTCGTTTGCTCGGGCTCGCCCTATCGCGCGACTCAACAATTAGTCGTCCACCCTCTCGGCCGTAATGCTCGGGGCTTTAAAGATGCCCCCGCCCCAGGGGGAGGGAGGGGGAGGTCCGACAAGTCGATGCCTCACGCTCGCAACAATTTTCGAAATCCAGCTAAGCGCCGGTCCCATCCGCGTGTACACCTGAGCACGGTCATTTCGCGAATGTCAGGTAGAACTAATTTGGACATTATGAGGAAGGTCGGTCGGTGCGGGGCAAGGCAATGGAAGATAATGTCGTTAGGCGGTGCTGCATTACGCCGGGATTATCACGATTAATTACGCGCACCTGGACGTAGGCCGAAATATATGGAATATATAACCGTTATTAGTTCGCGGAAAGTTCGCGCCGTAACGCGCGCGTTCGCCCCGTCCGGGAACTTCGCCGAAATGTTTATCGGGAGCTATATAAGCCGGCTCGTTCGGCCGCTGATTTTAATTAAAAAATACGAAATCGATTCGCAGGCCGCGCCCGCGGCTTCGGAAGCTGTTCGTTCGGACGCATCGCCCGGAAAACTTCGCGTCGACCGTATCGAGCTTTCCAAACTCGGACGTCGCGTTTCACAGACAACCATTTCGGCCAAGTTGGAGAAGCACGCGTTGTCCCGGGTGTCATCGTCTCGCGGACACGACAGGTTTCGAAGCGGCGGTGGTCCGCGCGACCTCTGCGTTGCCATCCATCCATTCGTTTTCCCCAGGGGTTGAAAACGGTTACGGTTCGACTGCGGATTTATGCATTTTTGATCAAAGTCAGTAGACCGAGCACGGGAGACAGTAAGGAATATTCGAAGGATTCGAAAGCACTGTTACATTATTCTCAATGTTTTGTAATTATTGAGTAATAGAGTAAATATATATGTCTGTGTAATTTTTCTTCTTCTCTTCCTGAAGAGCTGAAGGCAACGGAGATGGTCGGACAAATTGTGCTCCGCATAAAAATCCGCAGTCCGGTTATGATATCGGTTTTTCTTCTCGGAACAGTTACGGAGAATCGGAAACATCTTGCTCTATGAGCAGACCGCGGATTTTTCTGCGAAATAAAAGTTGTCTGGATCGTTCGCAAGATGTAGAAACTAAATAGCAAGTTCGTTCCTTCTTTAATCGTTCCAATAGATCAAAAATAATCCACCGACAATTTAAAATTCCATCGATCTTTGTACTATTTTATAAATTGCATCTACTCAATTTTTTCCCATAAATACATGAAATCCGCTGTTCGTGACTGTGATTTTCCGGTTTTCCGTTCCAGTTCTGTATCGTAGACAAAAACAGCCGCATAGCCGCAGCCTGTCGGTCGACTTGAATGCACACAGAATACGTGGACAAATAAAAGAAACGCGTCTGTATTTATTACAGTCGCGCAACCGAATAAAGCTGCGCAACCGAAAGGTAACAGTTGTAGAATCGATATGATATCGGTCCTAAAAAACCGGGACCGATGCAGACCAGAACCGGATAGCAGTTATTTTAGGCGCAGACGCACCTAATAACAGTTATTTTTTTTTAGTTCTTCGCAACCGTGCCAGTCACACCCGACGTATACACATATATATGTATACATAACAGTTTGAAACGGTTATATCCGAAACCCTTTCAATCCCTGGTATTCTCGCTGAGCTAGATCGCTCGTTGGCCAGCGGCCGCTCTCGTTCTCGGCAATTAAAGTAACAAATATCAGCGCGGCGCTAACTGACCGCCGTATGAAGTTGTCACGAAGCGTCGCGGAAAAGTTTGTCGACAGGAGGATGAGGATGAGCATGAAGAGAAAGAGGAGGATGAGGTGGAGAAGTCGGTGGGGGAGGGGAAGGGGGTGAGGTCCGGCGCTAAACTCTTGCTCGCGGCTGGATTGCCGCCATTAATCCCGCCACTCGTCGCAGACAGATTACACAATTACGGTTCTATTATCGCGGGAGTACACATAGCTTACGTTCACACATATCACAACAGTTAATACAGCGGCGTCACGCGGAATTGCCAGGTTGAGCAGCGCGGGAGATACCGAACGTCGGATTTATCGTTCTGCGACCGCCCTGCGCCGCCTCGACTGCCGCCCCCGCCCTCGAAACAGCCCGTTTAACGGTTCCGGGATGAAGATGGAAATCTTTTTCCGCAGGCCTGGCCAACGACGACGACGACGACGACGACGACGACGACGACGACGACGACGACGACGATTTGCATTATTCAGAAGCGACACCGTCCGTCGGCGTGAGCGTCCTTCGAAGTAGCTACTTGAGCATCCGTCAGCTTAACGATACGCCACCGGCACGCTATTTACAGAGATATAATCGGTCCAGCTTGTTACAGGATGTTTGATTACTAACAAGGGGAACGGGCACAGCCTCTGCGATCCTCTCCGCTATCGGTCGGCTGGGATCTCCGGCGCCTTAGTCCATGCAATACGTAATCACGATAACGTCTCTCACCTTTCGTGGATCCGTTCGACGACTCGACGAGGTCCCCGGGGGTCGACGGGAGCCGACGGCCAGGCCGACGACTCTCTCTCGTCGCGAGGCACCGTCTCGAATTACGGTCGCGCGAGCGTGCCGCAGCCGCGGTCGTTAATCCCTTAATTATCTAGGTCCCAGGGCTTCCGTTCGATCCGAAAAATCGCGCCGGGCGCGAAAGTTTTGCCGCGCTTCCGGGAAACCCGATCACTCCCGATCGAATTTAACGAACCGGGCGCCGATCAATTATGCCGCCGCCGCCACCGAATGCTCCGAGTTAAATTTAAATTTAAGGAGCGTCGACGAGCGTTCTGTCTGTTCGCCGCGGCCGCGTCCCGCGCCTCGGAACGGATATCCGCGGCCTGGCGCGCGAATTAAAAATTCAATGGGCGGAACTAATTTTAGGCGGGGAGGACAATGCGGAACTCGGGCGTTCGCAAACTATCCGGTCGAAAATACCTCGAAAGTTTCGGGGAAACGGAGTTCACCGGCTGCTTTACTTCGTAGACAGTTCCGGTTCCGGTGTCGAAAATGAGTTAGCAACTCGGGTGGCGAACGAAGTTAAAAATTCGCGGGGTTAAACACATCGTTTCACGGGGCGGGAGGAACGATTAAGAATTCAAGCTCGCGGGAATTATACACGGCTTAAGGAGAGGCACGGATTCTTCCGCGGAGACGTCTTATTTCCGAGCTGCCGACGACGGAACCCGCGGCTCGAGATGCAAGCAGGATTAAAAGAAAAACCGGAGGGATAGATTAATCGCTTCGGGGTGGACAATGAGAAATGGTGGACGCCCTGAAAATTTCATATCGCTGTTCTCTGTTCGCAAGACGAGACCGGGTAAGAAATGAAAAGCACGAGGAAGGGAACGAGCTTCGGCGGGAACAGCGACGGATCCGAAGTTTGCGCAAACCATGTGACTCGATAACCTAATATTTCAAGCCCGACGGTTCTCTACCTTCAAGTCTGATCGCGAAATAAGTGCCAGGATCCAAGCGACAGATAAAAACTCAAAGAGTAAAATAAATCCGAGGTTTGCACAAACCATGTGCTTTGATACCAGAAGATTCTAAGCCTGCGAATCTCTGTCTCGACATCGAGCTACAATGTAATTAAAGTCTTTAAGTAACAAACAAACAAGCTCGAAGAATAAAATAAATTTCACCGCGATCAGTGACGAAACCGAAGTTTGCACAAACCGAGCAGCTACTCGAAAGATTGAAAGCTACCAATTAATTCTGTCACGTCGCTGCAAAAGTCCACGCGTAAAACGACCGCGAAATCAGCGACATAACCAAGGTTTGCGCAAACCGATTGAAAATCGAGATCCAACAATTTGCTAGCCGCGTTTCCCCGCGGAAACACGGCAGGCCTCGTGGAGAACGAGCGAACGCGTAAAATGTCCGCGGGACCGGCGGCAAGACCGAGGCTGGCAGATCCGAAAGCGTTTCGGTAAGCAATTTTCGGAGGGAAGCGGCAAGCCCTGGCCGGCGATAAGGTCGCGCTCGGTTGTGCCAAGGTGGTTAAGGTATTCGCGATCACGCACTGCGTTTTCTACCGGTTTCGGAGGGCTTAGGCGCCGGCGGCCGTGCGTCAGTCGGTGGCCGTGGAGTGCAGGGCCAGCTCGAGCGTGGTGAACATCATCAATAGGGCGCTGCACGCCATGACGGATGGCGAGGACGCGATGCTGTGCTGCATGGCGGCCGGATTATCTCCCTTGAACACGTGCACCAGGACTCGGGCAGGTTGCGCGTTGCTGGCTGCACAGGTGTAATTTCCGGAGTGACGATCGGCGGCCCGTGGCACCTCCAGCCAGCTCTCCCTGCCGATCAAATCGGTGCTGACGTTCACCCCGTGATCGACGTCGTAGTTGATCATCCGGAAGTTATGGTACCAGAACAGGTAGGAGGGGGTCTCCGTCGAATTTTTCACGAGGCAATGAAGCTGCAGGGTGCTGCCCGGCCTCACGAACTTCTCCGGGGGGCCGGCTATCTCTGCTCTCGCCTCTGCAAATGGCAGAACGTGACGCGTCAGACGTGAGCTGCTTACCGTCCTGCCCCATATTGTTTACTGGGGTCCAAGGCGGTTATGAGGAGAGGGAGGGACCGGGGGTATGCATCGTGGCTGGTTAAAGGTTGTACGGGGGTAGCGTACGAAACCCTCCTGCTATCTCTATCTCCTCCGCTATCTTCCTCTTTCCCTCTCGCGCCCTCTTTCGCACTTTCTCTCTCTCTCTCTCTCTCTCTCTCTCTTTCCTCTCTTTGTCCACGGGTTCTTTCGCTCCACGCCCGTTTTCTTTCGCCTCTTTGCTCCCTGTCTCTTCTGGTACTCGAGCGCACGAGGCAGCCTTTCCCACTATCTACCACGGTGATACTAGTACTAGAATTTTAAGTTAGCTTCATACCGACGATGGTGCTTCGATGCTCCGGCTCGCAAATTGTCGAGCGGAACTGAAGTGCAGAAAAAGAGCGAGAGAGCGAGAGAGAGAGAGGGAGAGGGAGAAAGAGAGGCACGTACCTTTCCCGCTGCGCGATGCTTCTCGCGATGAAATGAGATGTGGGGGGAATTGTTTAATTTCCGAGATGGCGAGATTACCGAGAGGCCTTCTCCTTTTATGGAATATCATTCTTTTTAGGGACACCGGTATGAACCGTTCGCGGACCGGTAACGAGCCCGGCGGCTTTTCAGGGACGGGGCTAAATTTAATATTCCCGAAGCTAGCTCGCGGGCAAGGGTTAGACGATACTTGCCGCCTCCGTTGTAATTTCTTAGGGAATTAGGGGAGAGCGATATCCGACGCCATTATATTTTATTCGCGAGCTCCGAATCGTTTGGGGAACGCGAAGGATCTGGGTCGCGGAAAAATTCAAAAGCGACAGGCTGAAAAATAGATGCGACTGTTACGGTGCCTCGTGACTATAGTAATTTTTTAGGGCGCTTGGAAATTATGGGAGGGAAAAAACGATGTTTGGCAGGATTATATTTTATTCCGGAGTCCGAATCGTTTGGCGAATAGGAGAGATCTGGGTCGCGGAAAAATTCAAAGGCGACAGGGTGAAAAATAGATGCGACTGTTATGACGTCTCCCGTGCCTACAGCAATGTCTTTGTCCTGGCCGGGAATTATGGGCGACCGCGGGGATGGGGTAAATAATAAGAATTTCGCGGGACGATGTTTTATACCGAAGTCCAAATCTCCTCTCTTGGAAAATAGCCTAGATAAAGTACCGATAGTCGGGGAAAACTACAAAGGCAAGAGGGCGAAGAATAAATGTGACGGTCATTTGTTGGCCAGGCCAAAGTACCGCCACATTTTATTCCTATCATTTGACAGTGACTTCTTCGGTCTCTCGGAGAGTACCAAAGATAGACCGAGCTCGCGGTATACATCGACGAAAAGTAGCGAAAGCGTTCGCGGTCCACGGTAAATGGTTCGCTCGGGTTCTTTTCGAAAGCTCCTAAAGATAAAAAATAGCGATAGCGGCGGGGAGAGCTGGTGCCGACCGAGCGGACTAATAATCGTGAGAAGCTGAACGGAACGCGTTATTCGACAACCGATGATAATATACCGAGGCTCGCCGGTAAACGGCGGTTCGTCTGCTCGAAAATTAGAGGCCGTAAATAAGCCGCAGCCGGCCGCGCTCGTGAAAGAAATCGTAAAGCAACGGGTTAATGACCCGTAGATGAGAAAAAGTACATTTGCCATTCACCGCATTCTGGTGCTCGTCGGCGCATTAATACCGCCGCGCCGGCGCTAAAACGGTCTCGCCAATCGCGCGTCCGTTTCGAACCTCCGCGAATAGATAAAGCGCCGTTGTCGATTCGCCGACAAACACGGAAACTTAACGGCCCTCAGTCATCTGCCAAATCAGATTCGCGACGCGCTAGATAACGCGGGCAAAGAGAGGCGACATCCTCCTGAACAAACTGCCGTACAAAATATGACAAGAGGAAATCAGGCGACTGAAGCCTTCCAGAGAAAAAGAGAGAGAGCGAGAGAGAAAAAGAGAGAGAGAGAGAGCCGAGTCACCGGGGCACCGAAAGAATTCGAGATTCCGCGAAATATTCGCTACAGAGGAGATCAGAGGGTCGGCGAGGTGTTGCACCCTCCCGACTTCCTTTGCCGGAGCTGTCTGGATCCCATTGTGGAGGTAGGAGCGCCGGAGCCCCAGGTTTTCCTTTACCCGGCCGACGTGCGCGCTTGTTCGCTCAATGGCAAGGTCCGACGCGACCTCCGTGAGTCTGTTATGGGATCGGATGGGACGGGACACTGTAAACACGACCCGGATCCTTCGCCATTCCCCGTTAAGGCTCGCACAGATCCCCAGAACCCCGGCACCTATTTCCGCGCGACCGCAGTTTCCCCGTTCTAAGGTCCATTTATACAGGTCCATGGTCTGCACTTGATTTCCCATTTTGTACAGACGTCTGCGCCATTTGCATCGTCGAACAGCGATGCATCGGCGAGCACACCGATGTTGCAGGGGCGCCACTCGCGGGGGCTCGTGGAAGTGCACTTTTCGCGTCGCTAATATTCCACAATATCTTGGAGAATGAGTTGTTCAGATCTAATACAGTAATTTCTCCCGGAAATGCCGAATTTCGGGTTGCTGTGAATTTCCCTGTGCTGGTCTCAAGCCTATGTCATTTATTGCTACGTTCAGGTTAGAAAAATGATGACATCAACATGACCGTCGAATCGTGGCATGTGGTCACCGAATTGCCTTCGAATCGTGTCACGTGGCCTCCGAATCGTGGCTAAAAATTAGAAATAAAAAAGGTTGAGTCATCGTTTTTATTCTAGCTATGTATTCATATTAAAATAGCTCCGACTGCAAAGGGCTAATAATATAATGTAATATAGCGAGTATATATTGGAATATTTTCAGTTAAAATAGCTTACCGCTGCCATTTTTTTACCGACTGCCTGGAGTTTCTATGAAAACGCGAGGCTCGAAGAATCGCTACTTAGTATTCTCAGATCTGCCGGTTCGAATTCCGACCTGCGAACATTTCTGGGAGAAATTACTGTGTCCGGCCTGAATAATTTCAGTGACTCCGCTCCATATCATCGTGCCGGCAGTCAAAGGGTTACGAAGTAATACGTACACAAAAGCTGTATAAACGGACCTTGAAGCGATCCGCAGCGTGTTACGCGTGGCCTGGTCGGAAGCGTGCACGTTCGAGCAGTTTCTCCCGAGCATTCGATCGGTATCGGACTCGCGCCGCCTCCGATAAAACCGAATCAGTGCCGGGGCCGGGTCGGGGCCGGGGCCGGGCCGCGAGCGCGAAATCCGCGATAACCTCGCGGCACAAGAATGCAGTCCCGCAGTTTGATTGTTCGTTTCTCGTCCGAGAGCGCCGCGATTCCGTCCTCCCCGCGGCCGCCGACCCACCCCCGGAGGCTCGATCGTGAATTTTAATCGACCGAAACGCGAAACGATTGTGTTTTTTCTCTCCGACCGCCGCTCCTCCCTTGTTTATACGCTTTCGCCCGAACAACCGTGCTTTTTTCTCCCCTCCGCGCGGCCACGTTTCTCGTTCTACGGCCCGGTTTTTCGGCAGAGTTTACGACGATGCGGATGATTAATGAACGGGCGCGAAGGGGTGTTCGAATTAATTGCGTTTCGGCCAGTGAAATCCAGCGGTCCCGGAATTTCGCTCGGTTATTTTGTGTTTTATTCGCGGGAAATGGGTCGCCCGTCGTCTTGGAGATTGTTCTGTGCCGTGTTGCGGAGACGAAGAGAGAGGTGTCGATTCAACGATCGAGCCGAGGAATTCGTACCGGGAGTTCCTGTGGCATAATTTTGAGTTTCCGTCTGGTATGCCAGGAATCACACCCTTCTGCACCTTTCAATTTCCACACCGGAACTACCGAATCAATCAAAATGCTTTCCGTGCGTTCTTGTTGCAGTTATTTGATATTGCGCTTTCGTAAACTTAACTATTCGAACGGAATATATCTTGCGTTTCGAAGCACAAATCAAGTTTACCTGCATTTAGATCGACGATGACGGAAGAATCCGTTTCGATCCAAGGAGAAACGAATAATATTTATTGTCGCATCGCGACGAGGACTCGCCGCGGCAGCGAACGCGACAAATAATAAAGAACAGAGCCAGAAGAAGAGGTCGCCTCGTATAATTAGCCTTATTCGTCGGAGGGACACGAAATAGCGAATTTTAACTGCCGGAAACGCGGAGAGCGAAGTGCATTAAACAATTCGAAAGCGAGAAGTTCCACTCCGAGTTTGAACGCGGAAAGGGATCCATCTCGCAATTTCGTTTCGTAATTAGTTTCGCGGGTCGAAAGAAATTCTAGTCGGTGATCTAGGCACCCCGCAGAAATTGAGAAGCTTATTAAACGCGGCGCGATGTAATCCCGGCGCCCGTAGAAAGTTTTAAGGGGCGATGTAGCAATATCGGATGATTAAAATTAGATTTTAGCGCGCGACCTCGCCCCGTGCTTCGCCGCCAGGGGACGATATTCATCGCGGACTCGGCACCGTATCTTCAGACGTCTAATTACGCGTTAATGAGGCGTCATTAAAGAGCAGCCTCGGCGGCGAGAAGAGGCGGCCGCCTTTATTTCGGCCGGACGGACAATACCGCGATATGATATCGGTTCGAGAGTCAAAAGTGAATCCATTCCGGCCGGCCGGGTTCGTTAAATGCGTCGCCGTCCCTCGCCTCCCGACTTTCTTATTCTCGATAATCCAATCTGATTCGAGGGCGGCGAGGCTTTACCGGCCGTGCATAGAGATGATCCCGATCCATTCTCTTCGATCGCGACGTCCGACTAATTAGCGAGATAGCGGAGACAATTCAATCCCTCTGCCAGCCAGTCTTTAACCCCCTTCGACGCTGCCAGCGCCCATAATCCGACGCTGCAAACTGATTCCCCTGTACTTTCAACATCTATCGCTCAGACTTCGAGATAATCGGTCGATTATCGTTCGTCGAAATTACCGTGCCACGGCAAAACTTCGCGGCGACGAGAGACGTCAT